CTCTCTCTCTCTCTCTCTCTCTCTCTCTCTCTCTCTCTCTCTCTCTCTCTCTCTCTCTCTCTCTCTCTCTCTCGTGCGCGCGCCAATTTTGAAACAGATCGCAACAGATACTACACTTGATCGTCATCGTCGTCGTCATTTTGGGGGACAGTTGATCGTCGTCGTCGCAACTTCACGCTTATATTAAGTCAAAATTCTGAAGAAATCAGAAAACAAAATGTCCTAGTTTTTTTTTTCGGACTTTTTTGAAAAATCAAAATCCTAAAGAAATCAGAAACAGAATGTCCTTGCCGTAAAAAATATATATATATTCTCGTTTTCTGATGTTTTCATTTTTACTGTTTTAATTTGGTTGTGAATTTCGACACAACTCTCAAAAGTTGTTTGTATTGCAATGCTGTACAAATTTTTTTTTTTGAATTTTCTGATTTTTTTGAAAAATCAAAATTTCCAAAAATCCGAATACAACGTACGTATGTTATATTCAACCGTACGTTCTATTCGAAAAAAAAAATCAGCAATTTATGAGGACCCGTTTTTCAGAGGTAAGTTGCATAGAATTTCTTCGTACGTACGTTTTTTTCGGCTGGGTGCTAACCACATAATTTAGAGACAGTAGTTCTTTTGTTAAAAGGGTCAGCTATTTCCAGAATGGGATGCGCCCCACGGATTGGATTGACCAGAGTCGTCTTAAAAAAAAAAAAAAAAAAAAGGGCTTGTGATGATGGTGTGCATTCAATTGGGACAATGTCGGCCATTTTGCCATCGCACCTGAAGCATGGCCCCATCTACAACATCTGCTGGGACTCCCAGGGAGACCGTGATCAAGTTTTCTTCGGCTGCCTTTTCAATTAGACACCATTGCACATCTTGAAATAGATGTACTGGTTTGTTCACGAGATGCTTCACTCTATGGTAGCGGTGGCCCCATGGGTTTTCCATCGCACGCAGTCCCATTGCCGTAGGCTTGGTGCTAACCACAGCCCGTTCAGCGAACATGCTCCGCACATAATCTCGGACAGATGGCTCTGTACTTATCTCGACAACAGCCTGCAACAGAAAACGAGAATGATACAGATTCAATTATACACATCAACACAGGGGCTTTGAAAAAAAAACCATGGGTTCAGTTGTACACATCAGCACCACTAACAGAGTTGTATGCATCAGCACCACTAACAGAGTTGTATGCATTGCTATTAGCATCATAGCATAAGTAAAAGGTAACAAAGAAGCAAACCTCCCATTTTTTGGATATCTTGTTCATCAGGCATCGCATGGATTAGAAAACCTGCACACAAAAAAAGTAATGCCTAATGGTTCATCAGATGAAATGCACTCGCCAACGATGTATGGAGACCGTTGGCAATCAGTAATGCCATCCTAGCCACAATCTGGTACAAGACGGCGTTCTGGGAAATCCCGAAAAGTCAACTGGCCCACCTACGCACAGCCCTGTCTGCTTACCTGTGGAGAAATGATCATGAGATGACAAAATGCACTCAAAGGGTGGTGTTGAAATACATAACCCAACCACCACCCGGTCTACCCCCTGCAATGGTTGACAAACCTGGATTGGTCGGTGTCGGGGCCACCACCCCATAGGAGAGACGGGTCTGGTAGAAATAAAGTTAGGTGGGACCTAAAAAATGACCGCCTCTGGACCTCCATACTGCACCTATGGAGACTGATGGGGCCAGCAAAGAAACCCCCTCCCTTAGGTGGCACGAAATATGGAGGCAGCCGCTATTCGGAAACCCACAGGTGCGCGATGACTCCGACAAGCCTTTCTCCCTTGAAACCAACTCGCACTGGCTCACGTGGGTGAAGAACGACATATATCTGGTGGGGGATCTTTGGGACAGCCAACGGGGTACATGGAAGTCCCCTCTACAGCTACGGCATGGTCTTAAGAATGTCTAACATAGCATGGATAAACTGCAAAAACTACAAACAGCGGTGTCGCCTCAATTGGTTGCTACCCTTCAAGATGGACCGACTTGTCGTGACCTTGACTGGGTCACGCACAACAGCGGCAACCCTATTCCTATGACAATCTACATGATAAGCCATATATCCGACGATAAAGCATGACTGCAAGCCTTCCAACCAGATGTGGCAGGGGCAAGGTGGGCAGCATTCATAAAAGACCCAGACTGCAACTGCACGAAGCCGGTGGAAGAGCCTACGCGAATTAGGCTGGTGGGATCTGATAACACGGGATACTTTGCCTACGAAATAGCCTCCCCGGCCTGTGCCCTCCCCTTCGACCCGGATGAGTGGGAATGGAGCGACCGCAACCCCGTCCCGGTTTGGCAATACACAATAAAAGATGGGTACAAGCAAGCACATCCCCTCAAAATCTCCACACCGACTATGCAGAATCGGTGGAAAAGAGACTCCCCGGTGAAAGACTCTGTCCTGCGTAGCATCCCATGGGAAACGTATGCACACATAATGCCCACATCTCACAGGGCCTTGTAGTGGCAAATCCTTCACCGCTGTCTCCCAACCCCGGACTGGGTGACTTCTTGCTCCTCCTTGGAACAAGCAGGCGTATTGTCCCCCACCTGCGCTCATTGTGGAGAGAATGCACAACGCAGTCGGGCAGACCTGGAACACTACCTGCTAGTATGCCCAATGGCTAAACGGATGTGGCAGTGGTGGGATGCCCTCTGGCACGCATTGACAGGAACAGTGTTCCACTGGGATGTCGGGCTCATTCTGTTGGGAAGGCAAAATTTTGTTCCATCAACCTGGACACTCTTCCAACGCAACCTCTTCAAGCACATGAGACTGGTCGTGCTCATGGTGATATGGAGAATGAGGTGCTCTCCAGAAAGACAAGATACCGCCTTTGCATTTCACCGGGCGAAACCAGAACTAGTGGAAGTGCTAAGGGCAAACATTATGAAAACCAGTCATAAACTGACCGAGGATATGGCCAGCATGCCCGACAGGGAGGCGAGAGAACAGGCCATCAAATCCTTTAGAGACCATTGGCTAGAACCCCGTTGCCGACTAGCAAAAGTCCATGAGAACGGAAAAGTACAGTGGAAGAACTGGATGGCAGAGGACAACACGTGGACGTATAGGACAATGGACTGTTTCCACAGCAAGGTACTGAGACATTTCGTACGCATAATAGCCTTTGCACTATTCGGCTATCGGAAAGTGCTTCTCCGTACCTGGCCATCGCTGAGGAATACAGCACTAGTGACTAGAGGTGCTGGTTTCCAGAGTTAGAGGCTAGAAATGCTGGTTTGCAGGTTAAGTGCTCAAATCATTTTTATTTTTATTTTTTCTAGAGTTAGAGGCTAGAACTGCCGGTTTGCAGGTTAAGGGCTCAAATTATTTTTCTTTTTTTTTTTCTTTTTTTTTTGAAAGTCCAAGGTGTTGTAGAGGCCAGTTACTGAGTGCACAGTGATCACTTCGAGCTGTAAGCCACGGGTGTCCAGGAATATGACACCACCTCCCATCCCATCCTCACGTCAATACTCCTAGCGCAGCCCCTATCTCACTATCCTACCTCAGTGTGACCAGCACTCAGGACCATTGTCCTACCATGGGGTAGGCAACTTGGACCGAACAGCAGTGATAGGCACCAGGGCTGATAAGTTGATCAGCCCTGGTGGAAGCGGAATCGGACGAACCTTGTCGAACGGGAACTTCGGACGCCAGGCCCAGACAATCTACCACAAGTCCCAATATATGGCCACCAGAGAGTTCTATCTGGATGTCAATAGGAACTGCACCCAATGGCACCCTATCAACCCAACTTGAACCTACTGCAGATACTAGACCCTTGTCCAGTGACTAGACCCCCCCAGCCTTGTGTATGTAGCCCATAGACGATGTGTAGTTCTATGTTATGTCCGAAGGCTATGTATATGTGTATGTAGCCCGTTGGCGATATATAGTTTTATGTTATGTCCGAAGGCTATGTGTGTATCATGTGTGGAAACTTTGTGTATGTAGCCCGTAGGCGATGTATAGATCAATGTTATGTCCGAAGGAGTGTATGCGGCCGGTAGGCGATATATAGTTCTATGTTATGTCCGAAGGCTAAGGCTATGTGTGTATATATAGCCCATAGGCGATATATAATTCCATGTTATGTCTGAAGGCTATGTATACTCTGTATATCGAAGAGAGAGAACGGGGTAAGCTGGACAGGGACCCCCCCAAGGTCCAAACCAAGCTCGAACCCGTGACCTTGTAACATATAATCGAATGACTGTACCATGTGAACGACTAGTGGAAATGGCCCAAACGTGTGATTTGCCAGACTGGGGAGATCAACGGAACACCCAAGACCAACACCCCCAAGCAACCCATGTGAAACCCAGAACCAATATACAACACCATGAACAACCCTTGGGTGGTGCGTAGGCAATGTCTGTACCAGCTAACCTGCGTCATCCCAAGGGGGTGTGTGTCCAGCCGTGTGACGTACCAACTTCCGGGCCTGCGCCATCTTCCGCACCCCTTCCCTCCCCTTGTCTCTTTTGAATCGAGATGTATCTTGTTCGGCCCCAGAACCCCCCCCTCTGTTTTTCTTTTCGATTAATGGTGCTTCGCTGAAACTTGTACATTTTTGACGGCACTAGTGATTCTTGAAATTCCGTTTTTTTTGTTGTAATTTGGAAATGCATGGGCATTACGCGCGCCTTAGTGAGCGTGCTCAGAGTTTGGCTCGACGGTTAGGAATTCCAGAATTTACGGAACTCGACGTGTCCTTTTCACGCATGAATGTTCCCGGCCTCGACATGGAAAACTCTGGGAATTTTGAAGGAATATGGATAGACGTAAGACATTTCCCGCGCCTACTTTGCGCGCGGATATGGTGATTTTAATTTTTGAATTAGCATAGGGCTTGGAAAACTGCAACTGTTTCGGTGCCCATTTTTCTTTTGTTGTTCGGCGTCATACATACGAAGCTCCCTCCTCCTTCCTTCTCGCGCTCCTCTCAGGGCCTTCGCTCGCGTGCACATGCTTTCTCGCTCCCTTCCCCTGTAACTGTTTTTCTCTCTCCTTCCCCGCATGCGCCCTTTTTCCTCTTTCTTGATCATCTGAATCTTGGACCGGTTTCACGCTATCCTTCGCACCCTTCTTCCTCCCGCTCTAAATCCTGCGCCCGAAAACCCGGTCGATCCTCTCTTCACCTCATCTAGCCAAGGAGAAGCGCCGTGTAAGGGAAAATCCCTACTACGCGACGATTCTGATTAGATGAAATCAGACTGTGAGGGATCAACATGGCTTTCGATGGGCGATTACCCTCAAGCCCTCCCTCGCCCTCCTCCGCCCTATTCTTCATCTTTCCCCGCCTCTATCTCCCCTCTCGCAACTATAAATTCTGCAAGCGCGTCCGCAAAACTCTCCCTCAACTCGTCAGCCACCTTCCGGGAAGCAGTGGCTAGATGGTGTGTGTGTGGTGCGAGTCGAAAAGTCCCGGCGGGCTCACTGTAGACTGGCTGGTTGTGCGGCTGATCGCCACGACGGACTGTGGGATCGAGGAAAGCCCGTGCAGAAACTGAGTCGGCAGGGTGACGATCGCGATGGTGGAAGGTGGCACGCGACGGTCGGGATCGTCGGTGCATGTATGAGGATAGTGACCTGAGTTGGATGGATGAATGGCCCGGGGCCATGACGGATCTTTACGGCGGATGCGCCTCCTTGTCTGGAATCTATTCTTTGGTGTGAGTGTAGCTCTACGACAGTTAAGCCGAAAATTCTTTTCATCTTTGGATTTCTGTATGTTTGTCATTTATTGTATATACATTTCCCACTTCTCCTCCCCACCCACCTTATGATATGAATGACTATGTATGCATGTCATGAAATGATTGCCTGATGGGTCGGCGTTTTGATTAGCCATGAGATGACGGGGCAGGGGTGCAGAGCACACAAAGAACTGAAGGATGTATGGCTGCCATTTTCGCACCTTCCGCGATGAGTAACCACGAATGTAGATTATCATTGACGGACTGACCTTTGATTAGGCTGAAGAGTTGTTGCGAATGGAATACATGAGAATGGGTGAGTTATTGGCAAGAGCAATGATGTTGGGATTTTGTTCGAGAATGCAAGAGTGTTTAGATCTGTCGATGATGTGATTGCGGAAGAATACCCTGGGATCTTCAATCTGGAATACACTCCGCATACCATCTGCGGCTTGCCCTTGATACGCAAAACCCGAAAGGCGATCTATCTCCTCAGAACGAAGGAGGGCATCACGTGCGACCTGCATGCGTGGAGCACTGACTGTACCCCACCTGATGTGAGTACTGTAAATTTCTCGACGAGACCATCAGATCATTACGAATGCTCTCTCTCTCTCTCTCCCCTTGAACTACCTTTGAGGAATTAAAGGACTGCTCTCACTTTGCTTCGCACGTCTAAGGCGAATAAAGGCAACGGCCAGAGAAACCCGATCGATAGGTTGTGCATTTTCGATCATTACGATTGTCGGATTAACGATGAATGATTGAAACCGACTCTTGCGATTGATTGGATTGCCATGTGGACTGAAGGCCTCAACCCGACTGGGCGCCGGCCTCCCGTACCCCCTCCACGTCCCTTCCCGTACAACGAGAAAAGGACATGTGTATGCGAGTGGGACGCACGAGAAGTCGTCGCCGAGATCGGCGCCCGATACTATTTCCCTCCCGGAACTCGGTGCTCAGGGTTTGTGGGTGTTGGCTTTGTCATTATCGATACACATTTTCCGCCTTATTCGCTGCTCTTACCGTTTAATGAATTGATCGTCATTCCATGGACGGCAGTGGCGCCCCATTGGCCTAACACTCTGTGCATCGATTGTTGTCGCTTCGAGCGTTACCAATCAAAAGGCTTCCACTACCGAGTACGGAGTGAGGACGAGCATAAGGAACGAGCTACGCGGCTGAGACCCTCCATGTCAGATTCTGAGTTGTGCAATGAGCGGCGTCGGGACTTGATCCGAAAACGAGACACCAAGTGCGTCCCCACTCCATTTCACGCGAAGCCGAAAGCAACAGCCCGATGGGAGGTTCAACAATACTTTTTGGATTGAACTTCCCCGCGCCGAGCGTCCCGCACGCGCCTTTTTCTCCCTTGAAACCCGCGCAGTGACGGACCCTCCCTTCTTACTAAGTCAGGTCGGCATAGGGGATTTCGGTTCTGTCCGTGTCCCCACACTCAATTTTCCAAAAATACTTGGCACACCCCATATCGCTGTCTTTCTGGGGCCCCCTTCCGCAATTTAAACACTCCAAACGGAAGACAGCGCAGGGCGTGAGGTTGCGCGTCACAGTCCAGCCGTGTGTCATTCTAACGCCCTGCCGGTGTCCATGCGCAAGGCTGCGGATTTGAACCCGCAACCTTATACCACAATGCGCATTTCCAACCGGTGGTCTAACCACTGAGCTACATCGACTGGACAAAGGGCTCAAATCATGTTGATGCTGTAAAGAAGGGTGAAATACTTAGGCAGAGAACCTATCGTATAGGACTGAAGGCCTTTTGCACATTCTATTCTTGTCAACAAATGCAGTGTTTTTTTTTCTTTTTTTTTCAATCATTTTGACATCCTCTGCGGCCCTCCATCAGGCAAGGGATACGAGTTGTTCCTTAATCGAGCGAACGTGAAGGGGTGCGAACACGTTCGCCGTGCTACACAGGTTTGGAGTTGTTGGGACCCGGGGGACTGCATTGATTACCCTCCCTTACACGAGGGGATTAAACCACCAGTACTTGGCCCAGCTATCGGCCGCGGAAAAAAATAGAGTAGAAACATTTCTAGTCGGATGAATTTGGGCGCTCCTGTAGTAGCCCGTACGTTTCCTAAAATTGTGGCGTGTTAACGGGCACGACTCTAGGAAGTACTGGTGGTTTAACAGCCCCCTTTGTTTGTAGCAGACCCACCAGGTAGAGTCAGCCCTGCGCCCCTCACTTCACTTCACTTTTCTTCCCTTGTTGCTGCAGTCTCTACCCCCAGTCCTTCACTATTGCACGCGTTCTCCTATTTCCGCAAAATCTGCTCCCAGCCCTTTGCTACTCCATTGCCCCTTGTTTCACTGAAGTTTCGAGTACTGCTAGTCAGCCCTCCATCCTTTGCTTCACTCATTCCCTTGTTTCTGCAGACTCTACCCAGCTATTCGAGACTCCACTGACCCCTGTTTCAATGCAGCTGTGGGTACTGCTGGCTTTTCTGCTGTAGTCTGCCTGCCTTTAATCCCTCGCCCTTATAACTGAATTTTATTGTGGGCACCAATAAATAACCCAGTTCATTTTGCACTGGAGGGTTGAAACAAACACTGCTGAGGGAGAGAACCCTCTCATAAATCCCATAGATAAGGTTGTTAAAAATAAATAAATAAATAAATAAATAAATAAATAAATAAATAAATAAATAAAATCCCATAGATAAGGTTGCTTTCCTAGTTTTTTCCTCTTTCTGCAATCAGACTTGTCAACTTCGACATTCAGCATGCATACAAACAGGTGACGATCAAGCGGGCGACTCTCACCCACACAAAGCTCAGAGATAATGAGGCCACAAACACAGTTCAGATTCAGACTTGTCCCAACCGGCTATGCCCGCAACTTGTTCGTACACACACAACTCTGGATCTCCCTAGATGTCCCGCACACACACTCAAACTCGAACACAGTCTTACAGACACACGCACACACTCACCTCTACTAACAGTCTAGCACTAAGCTATAGCAGCTATGGCTGCCTTCTCCTATACTAACCACACCAGCAGCTATGGCCGCGTCTTCTTCCTCTCAGCCCACTGCTACTACGGGCACCTGCAGACCTCCTTGCACAAGACGCTCAGGCAGCACTTCCGCATGGCTCACAGGCAGAATGAATCCCTGATTTGACGCTGCCTCTTCATTTATACTTCGAATTGTCAAAGGTCTGCCGTTGGACCCTGGGCCCGGGGTGCACACAGTCCCACATGGTACTTGCTGACTTGACAAGGTGCGACCGGGACTGGGTACCGCTGACTGGGCTGGGTTAAACTACCCACTTGCCCACTTGCCTACGGACTGTCCTAGGACTGTGCGAAAGGCCACTTCCGGATCTTCCGGAAGGGCATAGACGTGACCTCTCAGGACTGTAGCAGCTACGACTTTGACTCTTCGGAACTGTGGCAGCTCCGACTTGGACTCTTCAGAACTGTAGCAGCTACGACTCCTACCACTGCTAAAATGCTAATCTACAGACCTGCTGTTCAAGACCTGACGACCAGACTACCTACAGCAAGCAAACAGGTGACTTTCAAGACACAGGTCGCGGGTTCAAGCACACAGGGGGGGAACTGATACTGTGCACGGGTATGGTCGAGGTCTAGGGATCCAGCCCTGGGAACTGCATCTGCTACCGCAAAGGTGAAAACCGTTTCACTTTCCAACCATCCCCCACCCCCCACCCTCTTTTGTTTTGTCTGCATCTATGACAAAAAGGAAAAATGAAAACAATTAAAAACATAGTTGGACATAGTAATACTAATACCAACAAAGAAATGTTGTCCTTCGCCACATCCATTAATATTGCAATGATACACAGAATGAGTTTTTTTTTTTTTTTTTATAGAAGGCAGCCAGTGCCGTATGATCCAGGCACTCCAGCCTGGTTCATACGACAGCCGCTTTTGAATTATACAAGCCGGAAAACGTGTCCAGCGTCCCTCACATCATAGAAAAAGTTACAGGGTGAACTGTTTCCTTTGGCCGTAACCATGTCTCCCTCAGAAAGGCAACGATCCCAATGTAAACAGCCAACCCTACAATTCATTCCAGGGCTACACAACAAATTCATCGAAATGACAAAATCCTAATTGTGCAATATGCGGATGACCTAAAAAAGAAACAGTGAAAACAAACCCTACGAAAACAAAGCCTATCACCCTTGGATATCACCCAACCGTGCAAATCCACCCTGCCACCCACGCGGCAGGGATCTGTGACCACAGACCCCGCAAACCCACCCACCTCCTCACGATTCAAAGCAGATCACTCAGCATGGCCCCTGTGCAAGAATGACACGCATAAATGGAGAAATGGACCAAATGCCAAATGGTCTAATTTTCATTTTAGAAAAGGGAGAAATGTTTAAAGTTTAAACCAGGGTTAGTGCTAGACTCACTATATGTCTTGCAGCTGAAAGGACTGACTGCGGTTCGGTGAAATCCTTTGTGACATATGCCAACGCAAATTCCTCTGGTGTTCGTTGATCATCCTCCGGCTCATTGCGCTGCACAGGACAGCACCAGACAGATCTCCAACTAGTATCAAAGAGTGCATGCGGTCAATTGCCATGACATGTCAAAAAGGATTCTCTGCATCTAAGTCCACAACGAGATTAGAAAGCCGAACATCACAGATAAGTCGACCAGGTACACAGAGCCATTGCTCCCAGTGTCTGTACCTGGTCGATCCTGCCAGTAGTCATATGCTTGTCTCAAAGACCTCAAGCCATGCACGTCTAAGGGCTGGAGCCCACAGGCTCGCGGCATCTTTGAGCCTGGAAAGCATCCGCCAGCACAAATCGTCGCCGTCGGGTATGGGCAAGAGAAAAGGGACTCCGCTGCCACAGCAGGTTTCGGCACGTCCGCAGGTTTAGGTTACCAGATCAGGAAGACTTGCCCTTTGACGATTTAGCAGGGGGAAAAGTATCAGGGAAATCTAATGGAAGCCTCATGGGGGAAAGTGGATCAATTCGGGACCAGTCCTTTAGATCAACTTCTTCTTTTTTCTTTTTTCTTTTTTCTTTTTTTTTTCCCGCAAACAGCCCCGGAGTCAGCTTGAGGTGCTGGTAGGAGCAGTCACTTCAAGCTGGTCCGAGGGAGGCTCCATCTATTGGTGGGGAGCAGCACCTGCTGGGAACCGGGCCCAGAGTCCCATCTTACAAATGTCACAGGAAACACAGTAATTGTGCATACGTGCCGCCTGTTACAGGCGTACATTCTCCATCGTGTAGTGTATATAGTGTGTATGTGTCAATGTATATGATTAAGTGGATTAGTGGTGACTATGGTTGCATTAAGCAGCATTATATATACTGTACTAGTTCCTAAGTCCAAGTGTTTGTGGTACTGTATTTCTGCTGTATTTCTGTCTTACCTCCCAACATTTGAGTACTGGTTTATGACCTGTTTGTGTAGTGAATGAGATGTTTCTAAAATAGGATGCGATGCATCATCTGTCAGTACTTATTCTGAGGACTAGCGCTAAGCAGCAATTGTCTATGCTATATTAAGTCCCAACTACTGATGCATAACCACTTTGTTTGCTAGCAGCTCTGCTGGTGAGGGCAGTAATGTAGCGCTTCTCTGGCCGGCTTGTGGGGGGAGGGGGGAGGGTGGGGAAGGGCGAGGAGCGGAAGGACAGATGAGGGGGACTGAAGGGGAGGAGGGGAGGGAGGGTTTGGTGGGAAGGTGCAGGGTGTAGGGGGGAGGGGGGTTAAATTACTTAAGACAATAGAAGACAGTTAGTCATAAAAGAGGACAAAGTTCGTTGGTTGATGGACAACTTGAAAGTGATGTGTTGGCAATCTCTTCCACAGCCTCTCAGAGAGAAGCCAGGGATGCCATGTAAAGGTGTTATCGTAGTTGAGACTACAGAGTCTCTATTTTGGGTCAGTCCATGTCTCCGTGAAACTATTTCGTAGTTTTTGACATTTCTCACTGTCTGGCTCGGTACCCATTTTGTCGTGCAGCTCTTTCCATGCTGCCTGCGTATAAGCTGAGATCGTATCAATTATCGTTGAACGGGCTTGCATGAAACCGAAATTATGCTGTTTTCTTTCATAGGAGACGATATACACAGTCATGATCGGTTTAAATTGGGATGGCCACGTTAGGGTAATAAGAGCAGCAGGTTAATCCTCCCCTGGTATGGGGGAGTAATCAATGCCTCTTCTGCGTAAACGATATACACAGTCATGATCGGTTTATATTGGGATGGCCACGTGGCCTATCTACATGATATCCATTTCATCATATCATTGTACAGGGACGCTGGAACCGATTTCCAGCAGGTGCTGCTCCCCACCAATAGATGATGCTCTTATCACCTCGTCAAGTGGACTTCCTGCCCTTGAAGTTTGAAAAAAAAAAAAAAAAAAAAAAAAAAGGAGCAGCGCATCCTCCAGGCTGCCATGAGCACGGTTAGCCTGGAGTAAGTGAAGAGATTGGTCATGAATGGTGACCAATCTCCAGCCTCCGTTGGAGGGGCTCCTAAGGAGGGTGGACAATTCCCAGGGGAGGTGGTGATCTGTAAGATAGTGCCACGCTGCGTCCCACCACCTCCACAGTTGGAGCACCATGGGGCAATCCAACAAACAATGCTCGAGAGTGGCTCTCATGTTGGGATATGAGTTGGAGCAATACGAACACACTAGGGAGAGCAGCCCTTTTTCCTCCAGGTCAGTCCGTGATGTGATCCAATCCGGGGTAGGCAGGCATCTATGTATGATTTGCCATTGCAGGGCTCTATGGCTAGTCGGTCGAATGTGTGAGACTGCAGACCACCGAAAGTGCCTGAATTCCTGTGGCCCCAATGGGGAATCCCTCTCCCAACGTTTGATTATTTGGTCAGAGATCCCGATTGGCTTTTGTGGTGCCCTATATCCCTTCTTCACCGTGTATTGCCACAAGGACATTGTTTGAGATCCCCCCCATGTCCACTCCCATTCTGCTGGGTCGAATGGGAGGTGGTGCAGCAGGGTGGAGGGTTCGTATTGAAAGAAAACGTTGTTTTGGTTCCCCGCCACTCAAATTCTGGTGAGGGAGGACTTTGGCAGCTGTGTGTCAAACTCTTCCTGACGATGTAGAGCTGATCATCTAGCCCCTGGCAAGCTCGGACAGTATGCCTGGAGTGAAACCTGATGATCCCCTGTGTCGTGCACAGTATACAAAAGCATGGGCAGGGCCAAGGACTCCATTGTCATGACCCAGTCATTTTCATTAAGGCGAGGGCCCAGTTTCATGGTCCGGATCCATGCTAGCGGGATCGATTCTTGGATTTCTTGTAGACCCTGGGCCATGTTTGTGATCTGGCCGGTCCTGGCGATGAGATAGTCCAATGGATACCATGAGCAGGTCTGATTATCCCATAAATCCCCTACCTTGTATATTCCTTTCTTCACCCAATGTTTCCACTTGGAGTTCCCCTTGACGGAAAGGGGTAGACCCATCTGATCAACGATTACTTCTTATGGCTGGGCCTAGGTTGCGGTGGTCAACATTGTGCCTCCCTGCCCAGGCGACATCCATCCCCCGCCCTCTACCCCTAGCCAGTCCTTCCTTGCAGAATTCCTAAAACACCAGTCCGCCGAGCACACTGTCCAATCCCTGTGCCTCCTTTCCACACGGGATGGCTGAATCAAGCGGGTAGCCTCGGGGCTACCATGTTATTTTGCCACAATATTTCAGAAATTGGAGTGCCACGGAGGAATTTCCCATCATGACCCTATGTGAAAACGTCCACCCAAAGTTTTCCTGGCCGCTCCCTGCGGCCTGTGGGTTCTGAAAAAAACCCTCTGCGTCAATCTATATGTTTTTCCACACGCCTGTGGGGTCCAGACCTAAGTGTGAATAGTTTGCACTGTGGAAAAGAAAAAAAATTAATTCTGGGTTAAGCCGACGCCTGGTCCAGACGGACCGGGCCAGACGGACTGGGGGGGGTCCGCCCGGCAAAACCAGACGAGCCAAAAAGCATCCCGGGAATTTTTTTTATTTTTTTTTGAAGATGGGGTTGGAGTGCGCTTGCTGAGAGGAGCCCGAATCCGCAG